AGGGACAGAACTATTTAAGGTTTTAGTTTTTACACATGCTGCTTTTTATAACCTAGCTCCAACAAATATAATTGATCTGGTCAAACATTATAGTCCTCAAAGATCCCGGAGGTCTGGTGACAAACTTTTACTGAAACTTCCCAAATCAAAGTTAAAAAACATATGGTGACATATCATTTTGTGTAGCTACACCAGTAGAATGGAGCAAGTTACCAATTTTTATTAGACAAATAGAATCACAAGAATCTTTTTAAAAGGAATTGAAAACTCACATTTTTAAGACATTTTATTCATGAATTTTTAAATTTTACATGAAAGAAACCTTGGATTTTTTACTTTTAATTACTGTTTATTACAATTTAGTCTAGCTCTGATTTATATAATATATATCTTAATCATTTTTATCTATAAACTTCTTTGTATTTTATGCTGTACAGTCTACTGAACATTTTATGGATTTTAGGCTCGAAATAAATATATTATTATATTAATATATAGTTCTTTATGTCACTTTCATTACATGATACTTAGGAAAATCAAGACTAGATTTATTTTAGAGAAAGGGAGGGTATAGTTTTAAAAATCCACCATAAATAAATAAAAATAAAAATAAAAAAACAAAGCAAAATGGTGGTAAAAAGAAGGTCAACATGGTGTTTGTATGTAACCTGCCAGACATCACGTTGGTTATATAAAATTGTTCCATACCAGTAGGAGAATCAGGACTGGAGTTTGTCCACTCTGGAATAAAATATATCACAAGTTTCACTATCATAAAGTATATTTGAGTACAACATTCATTTTCATAAATGAAATAAAGTGTGTTTAATCCCAATATGTCAAAAATCAAATGTTAAACTTAATGTTATTTTAGAACCAAATCATGAAAAGAAGTAGTTTAAATATGATAATGAGGAATAAATAAAAGCCACTGTATGTGAAAAGCAGCATGCAAAGCCAGAATGAATGCTAGTTTTAACTAGTTAAAACTTTTTAATAAATTCCAAAGAATCACAAAGCAGATGTTTTTTTTTCTTATACAACTCACCCTCAATCTTCATTTCTGGATCTCCCCATTTGCAAGTGATTTGCATATTTTCTTTAGAGGTGACATGAATATGCCTGTTAATGAATGCCCTTGGCTCCCATTCATATCCACTGTCAGGGCAGTTCATCTGGATAAAAAACAATTAAACTGTCTAACAAAACAGTTCATCTGGATTACAATACAGTAAATCTACATAACAATACAATTTATTTGTGTAATAGTACAGTTAATCTGGATTACCTTGGCACAATACACTTAATCTGCATATTAATACATCTGATGAACAAAAAACAGAGATAAAACAATTAAATATTATAATCTAAATAACATATTATGTAATTTAATCACTCCTTCATGAAGGCATTTCATCATTACATAGATGGCATTACCTTTGCTACTGAATATATTACAAATATAATTACAGCAAGATTCCTTAAGAAATTTTTTGAGTATCAACATCTGTGTAAGGAAGTGCTTGTAATCTACCCAGGCGAACAAAATGTTTATCTCTTTTTTAAGGTTTAATTTTCTTTTTGACCTATCAAGAAGTAAATCAAGCATCAATTCCAATAGACAGAAAAAACAAAAAAATGACTAGGAGATGCAACACAGACTTTCATACATTTCTTTGATAGAACCATTTCAATTTGCCATACAATTAGTAAACTAGGTATATTATACTCACATCTATTTTCTTTATAAATTTAAACTCTGCATTTGAGTTTTTCGGCAACATTATGTTGCAGCTTTGTTGAGGGTCCTGTTGGCTGACCCTCAGCAACTTGATGCCATTCTGAGGGCACCATCTGCCAAGTGATGGGCAGCTGCCCACTACTTTGGCCTGTAAAGTGTTTTCCCTAAGGATTATTCTGACCTTTGCCAAATCTGTTAAAAATGAATTATAAAAATGAAATTAAAAAATGGAATGAAATTAATACACTCAATTTTTTTTTTCATTCATTGGCATAGATACACGAGTGGTAAATTTACATAAAATTTAACATATCCTTTTGTTGCACTGAAGATGGCCAATAACTAAATGGATTTTCTTTGATAATAATAATAATAATAAAACAGCTTATATTGAATGCATATGGAGAAATACAATAATTCAGTACACTCAATAAATTACCACAAAATTTTAAATGAGTATTAAAGAAAATAATAACAAAATATGGTGTCCACTCTGTGTTTTTTTAATCTAAAAGTTCATGATAAGATACTGAAACGTGCATGAGCAGTTTGGCGGTACATTGATTAGTGCCACATTTACTGAAGGTATAACATGATAACTAGGGTCCATCAGTTTTTTTAAAGATGGTTTAGTCATTGTTAATTGAGTAATTTTTGGATTATAAGCACGTGGTGCTAGCATGTATTGTGCACTCTGTGATTATCTGTTTTGAACCTCAATGGCCGAGATTCTTTCAGCCTACAGTCACAGGCCCTGACATTCATTCTTCTGGTACATACACGCACACGCACACCAACTTTGAGGAATAACGGTAAATGTACGTACAAATAAAGGTTCAAGTACTAGTTAAATGGAAGTTTGCATGCACGCTTTACCTGTGCTCTTTGGCTCCGGTTGAATATCACTGCTGGTGGGTGTGTTTTCCATCGTCACCTACAAAAAATTTTCCCTTTTACTACTCCTTATTTCTAAAGTTGATAAGGGGAATGACTTGCTTACCCACATGATATCTTTTATCAAAAACATCTCCTTGATTGCAAGGCAAGAGTTGACTTAGAATCTAGTCTACTAGTAGTTTCCTAAATTACTGCGCGAGTTCACGCATTGTCATAAAGTGCATTTTTTTCAAAAAGTGTCACATACAGAATAATAATAAAATAAATGGATAAACTTCACTTGATTTTCTATCATCTATAAGATTTTTGGAATAGTAGATCTATTTCTGGTAAGAAAAATTCAACTTACAGCGCTGAATGTATCTAGTTCAGGTTTAATCATCTCAAAAACAATCGAGATTTGTTTACCTAATTTGCATATGCATAGTAAAATAGTTCAAGAAATTTGATTGGGCAGCTCCTTATTGTTCTCAAAACTTTAAACCAATCAAATTTTCGGTTTGAAAATTTTCGGTTTGATGCGCTAGGTCATTTCTGACAACGTTTGCCCTAATTCACCGTGATCACATGGTTGTGCTCAGGACAGTTTCTTTATTCAATGGCATTTTGATTATCGAATATTCTGTTATCTTCATGGTTATTTTCTTTACGTTTACATGAGCTACGAAGTCTTCCTCATGGAAAAATCATCCAGTAGCTTCAAGTGAGTGACGTCAAGACGAACTTCCGGTTTTCTTGGAATCTTGAGGGCATTATTAGATTTGCACCAAATTTCAAAATCTACGCAACAGTTTGAGTTAAACTATGTATCGGTATGTAAACTCATTATATAATATTGCACCTACATGCAAAATTTGAGAGCTTTAGCTTTCATTGTTTTTCTACAATGCCCGTTCAAATGTGAAAATAAGCCCCTTTTCGTCCATTTATTGAAGAAAACATAATATTTTGAAATAGGAATATGCCACACTTTCAGCTCTATAACTGAAGAGTATGAATAAAGAAAATCGAGGTACTGGCGTGCCTGAGACGTCAAGGCAAAAAAGTATTCAATGTATAAAGTTTCTTATCAGCAGTGTATTGAAATTACTGATTCTCATTATTATCTATTTTAAACTTATCCCCACAGAAATAAATCCAAAATAAAAACTTACAGGTTATAACTTAACAGCATTAACAATTTCTACCAGTAGCGGAGACCGGTGTCACGAAACTGAGGGTCCTTGTGACAGAAAGCCCGGCCTCCATAGCCTATAGTTATAATGGTTAGAGTAAGTCTTACCTAAGTGGATCAAAATCTAGGGCGAGGCTCACCTGTACAAAGTAATGGGAGGCGGACTCTCTGTCACGGGGGACTTTCTGGTACATGACAACGGTGCTAGTTGGGCCCACTAGGTTATTTGGCTCCTCGTCAACTTATAAAAAGTAACTACAAGAAAAAGTAACCACAGAAAAAAAAAAAACAACAGAAAAGCACTCAGAGAGCGCAGACCTCCGCCAAAGCAACAAAGTCTCCATCCAATGCCGTTTCACCCCTAAATTTTCGATATTTTTGATTATTGATTGATTATTGATCCGGATCATCACCAAAAACTAAACATCTGTTCCTTGGCCCACTTCTGACAGTTCCTGAAAATTTCATCTGAATCGGTCCATAACTTATTTTTTTGATTATTGATTACTGATTGATTATTGATCCAGATTACCACAAAAAACTAATCACTTCTAAGTTAACCCATTTCCCACCTACCCTGAAAATTTCATCAAAATTGGTCCATAAATTTTTGAGTTATGTTGATGACAAACAAACAGACATCATTTTGTGAAGTGATCGCACCGGTATCTAATAATGCCAAGAAAGCTTCGGACGTAAATAAAGTTTTACTTAAGCGGTGGGTCCAAACGAAAGATTTCCACATCTAAAAGTTACTTTATTAAAAAGATTCTTGTCGTCAAATATAGTATATGTATAGGGCTTCAACTGAAGCTTATTGTTTCAAGCTTGACAGAAATGTACCGTAGTCCAATCTAGCACCAGAAATGGCTGCAATTCTTTAAAATAAAAATGTCTTTAAAAATGAAAAAAAAAACTCCTTTTTTCTGCAATACGTATATTCGTATTTCTTTCTTATTTTTCAATGCTTATTTAATTTTCTAACTTATTTCTACTCCTAGGCTTGGTGTCATTTCTTTTAAATCTCTACCTCAGGCGACGCACGCCTACATGTTGCCCTGTTTTAAATATGTTCATAATACTACCTGTGGCGGCTAAGGTCATGTATGTTGTTGCAGTACTCCGTACACACACAGTGGGAGACAATCGAATACCTGGTTGTAGGTCAAGCTAACGCCCAGACAGGTGAAATTTTAATGCAAGTTGACAAGAGGACTATCTTTTGCTGGATTATTAAGTTACAGCACTTCCTACAAAGCATACACGACTAAAAGACAAAAAGGTTAGTTTACTTAGTTATATTTGATATCCTCTCGAGAGTTGGAATACGTGCAAGTTGTAAAATGCTTTATTTACAAAATTTGCCTGCACGATAGTGTTTCAAGTTGTTCGTGGAGTGACAATGGACACAGAAGAACGTCAACACACCTTATAATAAAAAGCAAGTATTGCAACAAATCATGTTATATTTGGGTATTAAGGGCGTCGGGTCGATAATCGGAATGCATTCTTGTTTTCATTTCTGAAAGGTATTGAGAGATAATATCCTAATCACATCTAGTCCATAGGACGCGTTGACTTATACACCTGTACTCATTCGTATTCATAACCTGAGCCTATCCCGTCATTTCAGAGCTAAAATGACATCGCGAAATTAATGATAGTGTTCAACGTAATTCATATTTTATTAATGTTATACTGACGTTAAATTAGGTGCGCAAAGTCGAGAAATAATCATTAATATGCCTACTATCAATATAGTCGGCCCAGCTCCATCTCATTATAACGACTCATTTTAATTTTGGGCTGTTTTCAGATTTTAAAATTGCTTTCCATGGTTGAATTGAAATGGCAGACATCAAGATTAGTGTGAGTGTAAGCGTGATCGTCTGCATCATCGTGGGAGAGTTGGTCAGCAGTTTGTGGTACCATTACCGTGCGCCGTGGTACGGGTCAAGATACCTCCTCACAGCGGTGATAGCAGATGCAGGATTGGTAGTGATATTGAAGTATATTACACAGTAAGTAGACCTTATATCATGCTAGCTTAACAGCCGTTATATTAAAGCACGTTTTTACCTTAGTGTACCACACCTTGACCATATATTGGTTGTAAACATAGTCAAGTATGCCTTACGTAATATACCTAGCACTAGTTTAATTTAGAACTCAGCCTGTTTATTTACGAATTCCTTCTCATTACGACCCACTCTTGCCCTTCGGATAAGTTTTTTTTATATCTATACTAAAATATTTAGCAATGAATTTATCGTCGAATTGTCAGCGCACTATGTTTTTTTTTCTTTTTTTTTCCAGAAAATACTACCGAGTCACTTATCGTACATACGAGGCAGCGGCATGGCTAGCTGGCGGCATTACTCTTCTGTTCGCGTGCCTCGAAGCTCCTCATGTCGTACACAACACTCACTCACTGTGGGACTTCACCTTCCACGCACTTCACAAGTTCCTTCTTGTCTTCATTGTGTCGCTGGTGATGGACTACTGCGATAAGCACTTCTAGACCACTGTTCTTCATTTAGGCATTGATATGTCAGAATAGACAACTCTGATTGTCAATTTGCAAGATAACATTTCTCGAGTAAAATTTTATACAGCGGAAAATATGAGGCTGCTACAGTTAAATTTGATCTTACGTTGGACAAATAAAAACGTCAAATTACCAAATGACTGTTGGATCTCATTTAAATTCAGTGGTTTTAGTGCTGTTTTATGGATACTGTGCGTATTGAATTGAATAGTACATAACGTCAAATAAAATAATCAAGGTAATTGCCCAGTTTATTTTTTCTTGCCATTTTTATGTATCGAATCTTTTAAAAATTGTCCTTCGTGTAAAATTATGGTACTTTTCTTAAATCATCAGTATTCTTGTAGGCCAAGCAACATCAATTTTTTCCAAATCGCCGACGGATCAGACACATTTTTAATGTTGATGTAATTATTTATTTACAAATTTCAGGATGGATACCTTTTTAAAACAAATCTTTGTAATCAAATTAAATCAAGTATCTGTGAAAAATATTTACAAAAATATACATATATACATAATGTAAACATAAAACAGGATAAATTGTTGCAAAAAACATTTGAGGGTGAAAAAATTAAGGCTTAAAAATAAACAGATAAATCTTGAAAAGCTACGAGTTTACGTCCGCTGGTGTTTTACAAGGACACTGACCAATGCCCAGTCACCGACTTATCAATCATGTCGCTTGGCGTACTGTTTCTTTGGGCCTTGGTTATGGGTCCAAAATTTGGCTGAATAGAAATGATACAGGTTCATTCACATTAGGTCGACCTCTATCGCCAGTTACACATCATAAATGTCATCCGCCTCTCATAAATTTTCCACCAGCATTATCGTGGCTTCCAAGAGCAGATGAATTTTAAGGCGTCCTTAGGGTCTCGTCGTATTTTGCCAGCATTGGACAACATTTAGTGGTCCGCAAAGATTAGTTATCCGTAGATGTTTAGAAATTAACTTGAAAAAATCCCAGAGGATTTTGCGTAAAAACACAATGTTTACACTTTACTCAAAGAAGAAGCCGTGGTGGTCAATGATGGTTTGGACAACAGCCTGGAGTGGGGCCGCGCATGACGCCATGTCGGTCAAAGAGGCGAACTCTGGCCGTAGTAGTGTTGGCCACCAGCAAATGGCAAGATTGGTACTGGTCATACAGTTAACATCACTGAGTGTTGTCACTCTGAAAAGAAAACACCAACCAATTTAAGGAAGAAAAATGTAATGAAGTTTGACAATCATATTTTATGAGGATATAAGACATAAGGTATTCGCTATATGCGTCAAATTTTGATTAAAATTTTTTAGCTTAAAACATGGACATAATAAGAGATTATGTCCATGCTTAGAAGCAAGTTTTATATTGCCCTCTGTCCTGTATATGTTATGTCTGTATCATTTTACTTTTAATAATGGAAAATCAATTTTGAAAATGAGTTTAAAAAAACAATTCGAGGACTCAGTTAAATTCATTGAAATACTGCAAGCATGACCGTGAAACACTAGATCATAACTTACTTGTTCAAATGTGTGGCGATAAATTTAAGCACGCGGTAGTTGGCAGCAGGAAGCTTCTGGAGCACTTCTCTCAGAGCTTGAAGGCGACATGTTTCATCATGGATACCTGAAGAATGAAAATCATACCTCAAACGTCTGTAAAAGTGAGGTCAGCAAATCTCTAAATAACTTACCCTTAAATCTGGAATTTCACATATAGAAATTCACACAAAATGGATTTGTAACATGTATCCATATGAAAGAAACCGATTTAAAAAATGAGAAGAAAAAGGCGCCTTAAGTTCTGCTGTAGTATCTTACCTGCTGCACTTATAAATTCGTTATTAAGTTTGTTAGGGATCAGTGGCTCTTGCAGCTCACGGAAGAAAGTTTTCACAGCTGTCGCCACATCATTGACAGAGATTTCCAAATCAGTGAAAACCAAACTATGATCTGTAAAACAAAATTTGGGGCTAAAAGTCAAAATACAGTCATATCCCATGTGAAAATAGTCGAAACATTTCTTTCAAGTTTAAATCTTTATTTCTATATTTTATGTTGTATCTATTGTTTGTCCTTTCCTGTAACGCGAATCTTGAGTGTAGAATTAAGGTAGGAAAAATAGCTGTCTCGGTTAATAAGACAAATTAACAGATAACAAGATTCAAAAGATTGATAATTTAGCAGAATATATATGAAAAAGAAAGTTGAATTGTATCATAGTTTAGTCAATCTTTATAGCAGCAATTCTATACATATTTAATTCCCAGATATTGAAATAATTAAAAACCACAACCGTACTCTGGTTAACTCACCTTTAAATTTCTGCAGCAGTAATTCTACATGAGCTTTATTTCCAGGTACTCTATACAGTCCTTCTGAACCGAGACCATTCTCTTCAATAAACGCAATGCACTTCTCTACGAACATGGGAAGAATTGCATCACCTTGTAAATAATCGTCCAAGGACATTTTCATGGCGGTCTTTCCGCTAGGAGCATTTTTTGGCCTCTTCCTAAATAACTTGGATCTAACGTAGGCCACTGCTCGTGCAATCCTTTGACGCGTATTCCTAGTTTGAAACAAATAAGATAATCCGCAAGACATCTTTAGTTGCTATATCTCCAACTTGTCGTGAAGGGTAACCAAAGTTGGTTTTTGACGTCATAAAGTTTCATTTTGTGACGTCACAGTCAATTTTCAAGTTTTAATTCAGTAGACGACACGTTATGTACCGGACGTCACAATGGCTTTTATTAACACAGAAAGAACATCTATTGTTAACATTTGCAATAGATTTATACTTATGTACTAGCAGTTTAAAATTGAGTGGATTATAAAACTCCCCAAGCTTATAAGTTTTGCATTGATAATCTTTGCAAAACAATGTTACATTTGATACAAAAAGACGTCCAGATACATAATTTCAGAATTTAGTAGCCTACTGGCTGACGACCTTTTTTCAGACTGCCGCAAACCACCGTCCAGTTGACAGTAATACGTTTAAAATCCGATTGGGGCAGTTTTTCATATCATTAAATGAGAAACAAATCATTAAATAATGACTTCGCGTTTATCCTAAAATAATAAGAATGAGACGGGTCGGGACTAAAACCACGCGTCCCGCCAGCGCCGCACTGGTGGTGCAATAAAGTACATTACAACCCATATAATTTGTATTTGTCAAAATAATGTTTTATTGTTATTTTAAAACTCACAAGAAGTACATATGATGGAGTGGATCTGTCCCAAATCCATGTTTTATATTAACCATAGAGAGCAATAGCATTTCAATAAATTTCTTTTTCAATTTATTTACAAATATGACGTGAAACGGATTTACATAAAATTCATGTACATGTTTGTACAACATATAGTACACATGTACTACTTTTAATGTGTATAGGTTTTCAGGCACATGGACCTCACAAGTAACAAAATTTTAATCAATAAAGAACTATTAATTTTGACTACCAGACTAAAATCTTCTTAACTCATCCAAACTAGATTAGAATATTATGATAACTAAAAATGACACTACTATAACAAGCAAGGCATGATTTTCACACATCTTGGGAGTAGATCTCATAAGGTATGTATGGTCTGATGGAATATTTCATAATAATAATAAAACAAATAATCTAGTGCAAAACTACAAACTATTAATCATGCGTGACTTCGCGGTACACTTCTACAACCTGATAAACCACTAAACAAATATTCAACAAAACAAGCTAAATATAATACACTACATAAAATGTCATGGATCAGACACCTTGAAACGCTCAAAATATGTATTTATCTGTGAGAGCCAAAGCTTCTTTTCTTACATGTAACAAGAGATTCCTGGGGTGGGAGGGGGAGCACATTCCTGTAACACGTCTAATGATAACTCAGCAAACTGATCACATTGACTGAACTGCTTTATATCATGAAAATCACGAATTAAACAGGCCTTATATCTGAGGGTCCTAAAATAACATACACATCCTATCAAAAGCATGTCCTGTGATCTATATGCTTCCTTTTTTTGACTATGGACCTTGGCAATAATTCCAATATATATGCTATATAATGAAAACATTAAAATCATATCAGAATACTGAAATAAATTTATTGCAATGTTCTTTTGCGTACTTCTTTGTGTCTGAGAGCTCTATTGCACAAGATACAAGTTTTTGAGAGGCTTTAAAATAATGTTTTGTGACTGTCGTGACATAAGGATGCACAACTAGACCTAATTACCTTGAAGTTCAATACACATGATTTCTGTAGACAGACCAGATTTTGTATCTCCAAAAATAAAACCTCTTAGTCCTATATACAATAGTATTAGAAACACGCTGTACAGTAGATCCAACAAGTCATCTTATAATACTACTGATACTACACACAATGCTGAATAAGGTGTTCAAATTATCACAAATATAAAGTAGTTTTTAGGTTCATACACATGAATCTTTTGAGAAAGTTCACTGTATCACATTAATTGTGGCCCCATATACAAACAAGATCAAATATTTTTTTTCATCATACAACAGACCAAACACAAACAACAATTGCATTTTTTTTTTCATGTAAAAGCTTATACGTTTATCTGGATTTCTCTGAAGAGTGTTGAAACAATTTCTTCCTAGAACAGTTTCTTATCATAATGTCTAGTGACTCAATGTCAAAAATTGACCGACAAAGTTCGCCACTCCAAGAAAGATGATGAAGCTGTGTATGGCTATCATAGGCCAGGTGAGTCTGCCATCTTGTTTCAACTTGAGCATGTATATCAAACATGGCAGTGCAAAAATGAGCGAAACACCACAAAAAGCGCCAGCAAATCTGAAATAAGAATTATAGAGATTCTGCAATGGTTAAAATATGAGCAGACCACATGCACTTGAAAAAGTTTGAAGACTAAAAGATTTAACTTGATTTAGTGCAATTTTCTTTTCTGTTCACAACACAAATTACATATGACAAAATGTTTCACAAAAGTTTAAACAGTTCCCCAGAAATAAACCAACCAGAGAGAGAGAGAGAGAGAGAGAGAGTGAAAAGCATTGTTTATTTTAATCATCACTGATTGATTTCTCTTCTTAACACAATTACAATGGCAATTACAGTGCACAGGTGGGCCGCATTTACTCTTTAAAATCAAATTCATGTACTCTTCTGAGATTCTATGCTGCCAAATTAAAAAATCAAAATTAGAGAGAAAAAAGATAATTCACTACCTTATGATTGTTCCTATCTGAGGCAGAAATACAGCAAAGAGTATACACATGGCAATCAGAACAACATTGAGTATTATCACATGCTTCAGGCTGCAAATAAGAAGTGTCATTTGCTTAATAGCACTGTGGAAAGGGTTTCCTTTTAGTAAATAAATTTTTCATTTTTAAGCTCTCATGCAAATTCAGGTTAAAATTACATAACAAATAACAATTAGTGTTATAAAATCAACTGACAATTTTTTATTTAAAAAATGGCAAAAAAACAAACTTAAATATTGATCAATTACACATTGAATTTAGAAGGAAATATCTTTGTAATCTACAAAGTGCCTCATAAAGAGAAATTATAGCATTTCTAACAAAAGAAGAAAAAATTCTTACCTAGGATAAATGTTTCCAAACACAGCATGCATGAATTGCAGCCTTATCATATATGTGATGAGAGGAAATACTGTGGTCATTTGGAAAAGTAGAAATATTCTGGCAGCAAATGCTAGAATATCATTGTGGCCAAAATTGTCCAGTAAGTTCTGAAATAATAGAATTTAGTAACTAGAATCATTTTATTGGTTATGGAAAGCTATTATATTGATAAGAATGTGCTAATAAATGTGACAGACAAAATACTGTCCTAAATACCAAATGAATGCAATGCAATCTTTAAGGAAAAATGGCTGCTATATAACAATTACTGACACAGATTAACATACACTGAATTTATAGTTCAGTCACTTAACCAATAACCAAGATGAATATCTTTCTGGGTCTTTGACTTAACACGTCACTAAATGATTCATAAGCATTTCTACTGCTATTTCACTTACATCTGCTATACACTTCTTTGGCAAGGGGAAGCCAGCATAAAATAATACACCTACTAGTAGATATGTGACACCCACACAGAAGTATGCAATACTGAGATCTCTGGACTGAAATAAAAACCATATGTCTTTCTATACTGGTATAAAATGGTATATTAAGTGTACTGACAACAAGTGGGATGGAACCATTTTAAGCTCAACTTTTACTTATTTTCAATCTGAATTAATAAGTAAGTAAGATACATGTTTAAAATTTAAAATAATTACCCTTGACTTTATATTTTTATTGGATTTTAAATCTTACCTGTACTATTTTAGACTTACATTATTTTCTGGATTTTTCTGATTTCTTAATATTGTAAGGACGCAGTTGTGTATAAAAAATGCTAAGGCTAAAATTCCTGTCAAGTTTGGAAATGAAGGTAAAAATTCTGAAAAAGAATTGTGTAATTATATTAATAAATACATGAAACATACTGAAAATTGTTTCAAACATATAGAATTTTCAAAGAAACAAAAAGTAGGTATCATATAGGTGTTACATTATTTTATATCAATTTCATATCATTACTATTATCATTATATGTTATCATATTATTTTTCATATTATTTTCATATGATACATTCTGGAGTGACTGCAGCATATGCATAAAATAAATCCATAAATTCACAACTTAAATGTGTATCATCTTATTTTATTGAGGCTCAATAGGAGATTCTTAAGTAACAAAAACCTTGTTGTTTTCACAATTTATAAACTACAAGAGAAGTTTTTAAAGCTTTTTTAAAAATTAAAATCATCTTACGTGGCACAAGAAAGTCCTTCATTGCAGGGGGTGGGTCAAAGTTCAGATGAAATCCCCACTGAGATACTTTGTATGTTACAAATACGAGCAGGTACAACACTGAAATTGTTCCTGAAAACAATAAGAGAAATATGCTATTGAGTAAAGAAAAAACAAATAAAAAACTTCTCCAAAATTAACAATATTTGACATTGTCTAAATAGCTAAATCTAATGAAATCTGTACCTTTTTCAAAATGGCAAAATACACAATTTACAAAATGCTTAACCTCAATTTTTACCATATTAGTTTGTTTATAAGGCTGGGAGTTACACAACAACTAAAGGATTTCAACTTGACTTCTCGCTGTCAGAATGTATATTTTGATTATTTCAATCAATAAGTAAAGAAAACCAAATCACATACTGGAAAATCACATTCAGTAGATTGTATGAACTCCTACATTTGAATATCAGAGCTTATGCCCATTTTTTATTTTTTGTTACTTACCTAATGCATTGAATTTTGTAAAGAATGTAGGTGACTTGAAGTTGACCAATGGAAATAGAAGGATTATCAAAAAGAAAGGCACAGTCTTCCTCTGGTCCCAGACTTCATTGAAAGTATCAGTTTCTGACTGCAAGCCTGTGCTCAGCAGGAGTCCATTTTGTGACAGGTGATATGTGGTGCTATTGCTGATGTGACCGTGATATGGTGTGGCACATAACGCTGAATAAAAAAAAAAAAAGGAAAATAATCAAGAAAAATGTGTAATTTTTCTGTAGGCATTGGCTTATTAATTGAAAATTATTTGGTTTTATATTGAATTGGGAAAATTTGTCTGACTGGTTTCTCAAAGAAAGAAAAAAAAATTATTGAAAATATTAAATCCAAAGAAACAGATTAAATAAAATCTAGACAAGATGGATGGTGAAAGAGATTTTAAAATTCTATACACAATACCTGCACATAAATCACTTAATGCAAAGTGCAAAAACGTGCAAACTATTTTTGCTCAATAGTATCATTTTCTTTTACAAATAAATAAATAATTCAAAATTACATGATATAGTTTAGTGCTAATATTTACTTTTCTTACCCACTGTGAAGAATGAAAATACTTACTAGTACCATCAATAGATGGAGCTGAGGTATGGTTTGACAGAGGATGAGATAAACCTACAAAAATATGCAAGAATATCATTTTATTTTCTAATAAGAAACACCTGATTTTTCTTTATTCAGACATAGAGAAACTGTGATTTGAACATACAACTAACAGAAACTGAAAGATTTATTGCAGAAAGCCTTGTCTGTCACAAGTGGTCTAGATTATGAGAATATTGTGCTTGTTTTGCACATTAGTAAGAATTGACTTTTTAAGGCTGACAATTACTTTCTTCTGGTTAACTACTACAGATAAATCTTGGTTTCAACCCATCTTTGCTTGTGCGACAGGGCCCATGGAATACTCACCAAATATAAACCTAACAGTGTTGTACAGGAAATTGGACATGAGGACCCAGTACACTATCATGGCTCCCAGGAGAGCAGCCAGGGAGAAGAATACAGCACTGTACTCTCCCCACTTGCCAAGGAACTTTTTACACACGTCAGAAAACTCAAGGATTTCTCCTTTTGTTTCTGAAAAAATACAATAGAAATTATTTTCATTTTGTTATCAATTGACTTAGGTATAACTATAAATCTTGAATTCTGCTGCAAAACCTAAATAGTTTCAATGCAATACTGCATCCAAGCAAAATTGCAGTTTTGCCATAAAGCAAAGAAAAGAAATTTCAGAATCTGCACAGTTCATTCTTTATTATTAATAGTGGGAATACAGAAAGACACAGCATATCTGATACATTTCCATTTCTAAACTCAATCTTTGATGCATGTCAATTACGTTTTTTTTTATTATGTTACTATTGTCTGTATATTTGTATATTATGGTACCATTATATGAATATTTGTATTAGTCTATTTTGTTTTTCTTTAAAATTTTTCTTGTAATCAAACTTACGTATATATCCCACAGACTTCATCACTCTGTAAGAGGTGTACAGTGTCAGGATGCCCATCACCACTATGATTCCTATACCACAGCCAAATCCAGACTGAAAACAAATAGAATTTTTCTTAATTTCTAAATTACACGAAGAAAAAAAAATCACTTCTGGCAATCAGCTACATACATGTATCGAGCTGAGTTATTCTTGTCTATTTTTTTCTTCAGTAACTTACAAAATGTTTATAAAGTCATTGATGAATTAGCGTAATGATGACATAATATTATTCCGTGTATTTTTCTTGTTTTTTCTTTATAAGCAAAAATAAATATGCATGTGTTAATATGAGCAAAACATTCATGTTTAAATACAGAGATATTAGAATTCTTTAAGAAGCACAAAGTATATGAATAAAGTCTTACCTCTCCCAGACCCCAGGGCATGCTGAGCAGAGAGGTCCCCATCATTGTATTCCAAATGGAAAATCTACCAAAATTTAAAATAGAAAGTTAACAGAGACAATAACACACACACACGAAGAGAGAGAGCGAGAGAGAGAGAGAGAGGGAGAGAGAGAGAAAGAGAGAGAGAGATGACATTCAGTCAAATTCAATCATGAATTGAACGCAGATCTTAATAAACTTGCTTTGTAAAATAAGATTTATCTGCCTTATTTACTTTGTATTATTTTCAAGTTGGTGAAAAACTTAGTTAACAGTTGATGTTGCTGATAAGGAGATAAATGTTTAATCAGTTCCATACCCATGCATATTTACATCCTCACATATCAGATATCAGGTTAATCACTTCTGATTGTAAACAATACTCAAATTTAGACCTAGACGTGATAACATGTGTTATTCACACCAAAACACAATGAACATTTAGGAACAGCCTAATCCAAAAACTTTAAATTCACATTTTTATAATACATTCTTAGATCCAAATTTCAAATATTTCTGAGGGATTTATCCAACTTTTTCACAACCTGGACTTAAAGAAGAGACAATTTTGACTCTAAATTTGACTATGGCAGTGATAACCATAAATCAAATATCATATTTGAACCAAGGATTTCACATTATTTCTAGTAGGTGCCACACACAGGGGTTTAAGAATAAGTACTTACATAGTAATTATACTGCTCTGTTTCCCTGTTGGAGTGACAGGAAGAGGGTAAAAGAATTGGGATGGTACTACATGGTCAGGCATCAACTGAAAAATAAAATAAAATAAAACAGTGATAAATAAACACTATACTGGAAGAAAATAAGAAAACAAGTCTCTGTCTTAACTCTAACCCAAAACACAATGTAAAAATACTGACATGAATTTTCTTGACTCTCTACCAAACTGGGCAATTTATTATACTATTCCCCTACCCAGTACCCTATCTGTTTAACCTTACCAAAGAACTGCCCCTACTGGGATCCAGTCTGCTATAGTACTTGTATCGGTTGATGGCTGCCACAGTGTTTTCATCATACTGAACAGTACCAGACTGGACACTGGAATTGCCTGTAATGGCTTGGTAGCACACTGGCCGCCTGAAGAGAATAATAGATTTATGTCAGACTTAAACCTGGAATTGCTTTGTAAAATTCTTTTGCCTTACCACTATAATGCTGACTAAAAATCAATCTTTTTATTTCAGTGTTGGTAATTAGGTCAAAGCACCTTTTGTCAATTAGAGAATATATGATGATGTCTAATCTTTTCTACACTGTCCTAGAATCATACATCTGTTTTCTTGACATTGCAACTTTGTCCAGACAATTATCACTTGTTTTATCATGCATATTTCGATTTACCTTTTAAATGAGTCATTCCTGCCTATTGTTTTAAGAGATCTAGTTTCATTTTGTGTTAACCGTGGCCAAGATGCACTAGGTCCCATCTGCGTCTCAGATGCCCTGCCTCTGATACTGTTGGCATCTCGAAAACTATAAAATAAAACAAGTTTTCATTGGCATTCAGTTCAAATGTCCATAAATATAAGAACAAAACAATACATTAAGGAATTATAGAAAGGAAAGTAACCATAGATTTTTAAGCCATTCATCACAGCTATTATTATTTAGTTTTTAACATAAAGATGAAATAATTATAATAGTTGTAAACAGCCAAAAAATTATTTTGATGAGAAATGGACAACTGATTAATTATGAAAAACAAACATTTACTGGGGCACATTCTAGATTCACACATCATAATAGCTGGGCTGGTCCCACCTTGTGGGGAATTCTCACTGAAGTCATTGGAATCAGCTTAATTAACGATGTGTGAATCTGAATGTGGTCTTAGAGTGCAGGTTATCAGTGTATGCTACTTGGCTGAAATAGCATTAGATCTGCTTTACAAATCCAGTTTACAAAACCAGAAAAAATTTACCCCAAACAATTTTTTTATTTAAACAGGTTGTATTGTCTTACTTTGTCCTACCTTTTACTAGTAGCCACAGTGCTACGGACACTTGTTTTAGACATCAGTGGTACACTATCCTCACTTTTACTCGACATAATTCCTACCACATTACTACACTGATGCAGTGAACCACTATGCGTTTAATTCCAGATCTGCATAATGGCAGAGTCTGTGTTATATGCGAAAGTGAGTTTTAATTATAACTGATGAAGCCGAAGTCCACCTTTTATCTGATTTGGCTTTAACTGTGACTTTATCACGAGGTTACAATAAAAGGTTAGGAATATTTAGGACAATAACATATCTGCACAGATTCATGGTCAGCTGATACATTAAATTTATTGGTACAGACAGATGAACAGCCTCAGAGCCCTCAAGTTTGTTTTGAAATAAACAGAGGATGTTTACATCTCTGACACCATGCCTGACACTGGCATGCTGACACCAAAGGAGAAAGGATAAAAGGTGATTTTTTTCTAAAATTGTTGAAATTCTAGCAATATCACGTACATTTTATCATATATTGTACATTAAACCTCTATATAAGCAAGTGCTCACTGAACCTGGAATAAATCTTCAAATGGTAGTAAAACAATGTAAGGATCAAACATAATAATATCTGTACTACATTTGCTTTTATCAGTCAGAATATCTTCTATATAGGCTGCATATCAAAGAGCAAGCTTAAAATGGCCAAATGGTTTATACACTGGTCATTATAAGGTTTATGAGATATGTGATATTGTCAAAAAGCCTTGACCCGGTGCATACCACATAAAAGTGTCTGTGTGTGTGTGTGTGTGTGTGAGAGAGAGAGAGAGAGAGAGAGAGGGAGAGAGAGAGATCTGATACAGTTAAAGCAGTACCTTTGAAATGTTCAGTAAGAAATGGTTGGATTGGCAGATATGAGGCTTTGAGAAGTAAAGCCTTAAAATCAGGCTATGCTGTAATAAGTGGAGACATTTCTTAAGACTTATAGACAGAGTTCAACACGCACTGGTGAAAGATAAGGGATGAAAGTGAAATACATCTTGTTCAGGAGTGTATGCAAGATAATAATAATAATGATAATTACAGAATGTCATCACAAATAATATAATGAAAATATGTAAATGATACCGACCTTTGATTAACCTCATTTAACCTTCCTCATAATTGAAATATAAAAAGAATCAATAGGAGTGGTAAGGGCTGATTATCTGGTGTTACCACATGTTTATTTTTATCATGCAGATACATAATGATATCATGATCGCCATAACATCAATCAACGGCGTTAATTGCCACTGGTATATCATATCAGTAAATCCATCACTATATCAGTTCAGATTATCTATATCCAATCAATTTTCCTGAGACACAATAAGACTTTATTCGACTACATTCAACAATACGTCAAAAGACTAGTTAGCAGTACTAGCTAGCACGCAAGTCAACAGAATAGCGGGGCGGCAACAATGGTCAGATCGCCAAACCAGAGAGGCTTTGTCACTTACGGTGCATTTTCTCCTTCTAAATCCTCTACTGGGGACGCAAGAAGAGGGGATACTTCTTCGTCTACTGATCGCATGGAATCCAGACTCATAGTAGCATATTTCTAGTGATAAATCAACACGGTCTGTGTGATTAATCTCGTGATCGCAACTGGGTCAAGGTCGCTTTTTTTTTCGGAGCTTCAGTTCTCAAGAATTGAAAAAGAAATGAGAAAAGTTTATCAGTTACACTTTTAGTCTCATGATTGATAAAAATCAACTTTTGGTGATATTTCATCAATATTTTCTCTGAAAATCACTTATGATGGGGATCGAAGAGCAATATTTTTATGTCGTGACCTTGATCTAGTTACTGAAGGACACAGGGACAGTATAAACACGGCAACTTCCACCCGGATTCTGCACAATTTCTCACCTGACAGAAGCGCAACATGACTCTCACTTCTTCCGAAGTTGAAACGAAGCCTTTTGAAGGCCAGAAGCCAGGAACAAGTGGTCTTCGTAAGAATGTAAAAGTATTTCAACAAGGGAATTACACTGAGAATTTCATCCAGTGTACGCTTGATGCGTTGGGGGAGAAACTCGCCGGTTCGACTTTAGTTGTAGGAGGAGATGGGCGATTTTTCGGAAAGGAAGCTGTTGGCATCATCGTGCAGATGGCAGCTGCTAACGGGGTATGTTTATAGGGAAAATACGACATTTATTTTGGCTGTCATGGCCTAAAATACCACATAACACAACTATATATTATAACGTGGTGCTGTGTTACGATTGTGAGTACAGCTGCACTGTTATTGACTGTATCTCAAAGTCTGAACTAATCTACACATCACACACTCATACACGTGGTTAAATTTGATATGTTCCACAAATGTTTCTTTGGTTAGAATAAAAGTGATTGTTTTAGAATGATAACCCAGAGATAGAAATACTAGTACTGAGTACATACACAATATTACCCACATGTACAAAAAAGAGGATATTTTTTAAATTTTAGTGTGCTTGTTATATAATAGAGTGTCGATTACAAATATGCATTTAAATTTTAATACGTCTTATTTTGAAATCTGTTCCTTTAATGGCAATATACAAATTTGATTTTTATTTATTCAGAATTACAGAATAACAGATATGCTAACTATGATGCCTAAGGGAAAAAAATAATTGCACTTTTAGGTTTCCAAGCTCCTTATTGGTCAGAATGGCATCCTGTCCACCCCGGCCGTGTCCTGCGTCATCAGGAAGTATGGCACTGATGGGGGCATTATTCTCACTGCCAGTCACAACCCAGGAGGCCCTAATGGAGACTTTGGGATAAAGTTTAATATTGCCAATGGAGGTCAGCTCCTTGTTATTATATTTTTCTCCTTATTTGTCCCTTTTTACAAAATTTCCTTATTTATTTATTTATTTATTTATTTATTTATTTATTTATTTATTTATTTATTTATAATTTTTTGATGAGAATTTATCATTTTTTAATTTATAATTCTTACTTGTTTGTATGGGAAAGGTTATCTGGCGATGCAAATGCCCTGTCTCTAAATCTCACATAAGTGACTGGGGAATTCTGTTTCCTTTATTTTCATTCACTGTAATATCCTGGTCATGTTCTTGAATTTAAATATGTATGTCACAAGAATTGTTATCTTGAACTTGTTGTTGGACTTCTTTTAACAGATGCCATCTTTCTGTGACGCCAATGCAATACGTTCCACATGGGTAGCGAGGCACATCTTTATTATATTTACAGATCTGATAATCATGGTATGTGCATTCATAACAATTGAATAGATTTATTTTGTCAAATTAAATACTCTAAATTTGATTTATTTCTTACAGGCCCTGCTCCATCAGGTGTAACAGATAAAATTTTCGAGCTGTCAAAATCAATAACCAAGTACAAAATCTGTAAAGATCTCAATGTGGATCTTTCTAAATTAGACACTCATGATTTCACGGTTGATGGAAGAAAGTTCACCGTGCAAGTTATTGACTCTGTAGAGGATTATTGTGGACTGATGAAGGAGATCTTTGATTTTGGTGCCATAAAGGAACTGCTGACAGGACCTTCAGCTTTAAATATAACACTGAATGCTCTTCATGGAGGTATAGTAGACAGTTTTACATATGTGTACCCATTATCTCAATTTTTTGATGGTTATCATGTTTATTATCATTTCATGGGCATTTGCCAGTGGCTGTATAATAGGAAGCCCACCTAAAATGCGGTGATACTGCTTTTGTAGTGAAATTTTAATGGACAGTTTTTTTCTATTAAAACAAAGCATCCTCAGTAAATTGTTTCAAGGTTCGCACTGGTGATATATGATAATAAATTTCGGTTAAAGACAAAATAAATAAAACAATATAAAGACAAAAATTATCTGGAAATTACATTTTTTTTAGTCATGGGGCCTTATGTGAAACGAATAGTTTGCCAGGAGCTTGGTGCCCCAGAGACTAGTGCAGTGAACTGTGTCACTTTGCCGGACTTCGGAGGTGGCCATCCTGACCCCAATCTTACATATGCAGCTGAACTTGTAGATGAAATGAAAAAGGGAAACCATGGCTTTGGTGCAGCTTTTGATGGAGATGGGGTAAATATGCATTATTTAAAACACATGTTATTTTGTTGTGTTCTTTTACAGTTTATAAGATTCAGTTTTTTGCTGATGACACTTTAGTTGTCTGCATTTTAAGTTTACTGAACAATTCAACTTTTTTATTAGCTAACATACATGTATTTTCATTTTAGTGCATGTTATAGATTTATAGAGATATTATGTTCTTATTATGTCTTTTGTGCCAGTGGACAGCAGTTAGTTTTGTATGAATTCTTATTATGGTTTATATCACATACATGTCAGTTACTGCAGATACTGGCCAAAACATCACGGCTGGTTTACCACAAGATATCACTGACATCATTGAGAGGAGTGTCTTATAGCAACTATCATGCCTTGTCATGCCCTGGTTGACTATTGACTAGGCACTATTTTGTGTTTGAACTGTTTTTCCCCTGTTTCAAATTATCCACAACTCCTTTTCCCTTTTTTTAAAAGACTATTACTTATTTGTCATACAATTTTTTTTGTGCAGAGAAAAGTGGTTTGAAATTAAAGCATAAGCAAGCATATTAAGAAAAAAAATGCTGCCATTGTAACTATACAAAGAAATACCACAATATATTATTGATTTCTATCTATTAAAATTGAATTGTGTACAATTTATTGTACAGTGTAACTATACAGACAGTACGAAAATTTATTACTGATTTCCTTCAAATTTCTTACAAAATGTTGCACAATGTAACTTTTAGCAAACAGCCTATTTGAATTTTTGCAGGACCGTAACATGATCCTTGGTAAGAATGCCTTTTTCATCACCCCATCTGACTCTCTGGCTGTGATAGCTGCCAATATGGAGTGTATCCCTTACTTCAAGAAGACAGGGGTTAGGGGGTATGCCAGGAGCATGCCCACTGCTGGGGCAGTAGACAGGTATGAGTAATTTTGTATTGTGTCATATTGTACTGTATTGTATAATTTTTCAAACTATAAAGGACAACTGAACAACTGACTATGTATACTTTGTGGCAGAAGTTTTGGCAAATATGTTTTATTCAACTCTTTTTTATTTTCCTTAAACCTTAAGGCATTTCTATGTTTAATATATATTTAGTGTTTTTTAAGATTTTCTCTGACATATTTCATCTGATAGTTTTTCTGTGAAATGAAAATATAACATTTGATTCAGAAAATTTGGGTTAGATCCATTTTCATAATATTATTTATTTACTTATTTATTTAAAACAATTTTGTAGGGTTGCTAAAGCTTTGGGAAAAGAAATCTTTGAAGTACCAACAGGCTGGAAATTTTTTGGTAATCTCATGGATGCAGGGCGACTGTCGTTGTGTGGAGAGGAAAGTTTTGGGACAGGCTCAGATCACATAAGGTATACCATAGTTTGATAGATTATTACTGAGAAGTGTTCTTTGATCAACTTGACAATTAATTTCCTTTTCTTTTCTTTTTTTATTTCTTTCTTGTATTTGAAAATCCTACTGGTTAGTTTTAAAGGTCTCGCCTATGAATAAAATAGAAAACTAACTCAAACTCCATGCTAAATATATTTCTGATACAAGTTTGAATTGAGCCTTTCTCAATGCCTAACTATATGTATCTATAAAATTATCTCCCATGAGCATAACCACCTTCTTTTTTTGTTGTCCAAATGCAGGATAATATGACACAGTTCCCAATCATGTTTTTTAATTTATATAGAACTGTTGATTTTCTGGGGAAAAATTAAAATAAAAGCCCTTTATTTACTCATCTTCAGCTTGGGTTTTGGACCAGTTGTTCTTTCACGTGCAAAGTTTCAGCCTTTATCAGCTTCTGTAAGAAACAGCAGTCTCATGGCTCAACAACAGCAAATGCTGGTTAAAAGTCACAAAATCATTCAAAATCTTTAAATTTCAGGGAGAAGGATGGTCTGTGGGCAGTCCTGGCTTGGCTAAGTATTCTTGCCAATAGAAAACAAAGTGTGGAGGGTATTGTGCAGGATCATTGGAAGAAGTTTGGAAGAAATGTTTTCACCAGGTATTTCAACTTCAGATAGGTAACTCATGAAAGTTTACACTAAAATGTGAAGAATAAATGATTTGCCATATTTTGTTTAAATTCTGTTGAGTTTCAGAGTTTGCATCTAAAAAAGGGTTGTGATTGAAGATGATTAAGTTTGCACTTACAGAAATTCTAGAATAAATGATGCTAACATAAAAGTTCCAAGTAGTGTCAGTGAATGTAATAGGTTTTAATGTGGATTAACAAAAATAAATTTGTTTACATAAATTTAAATGATTAGAGATTTAAAACGCTGTTTTGAGAAAATGCACCAAATAACTTTGTGTCTTTAGGTATGACTATGAGGAAGTGGACAGTGCACCAGCTGACAAAATGATGGCCAAACTTAATGACCTGGTTGGTGACCCTTCATTTGTTGGCAAGTCCTTCTCCCATGGAGACAAGGTTTACAAGGTGGCCCTGGCAGACAACTTTGAATACACAGATCCAATAGATGGTAGCGTGACAAAAAAGCAGGTAAAGTGACCATTTCTCCATTTAATGATGTTATTCTTTTTTGAGAAGTATTGTTTGAATGCTATCAAGGAAACACTTAAAGCTGTCTTTCTCCCATATGTTTTCATTTTGCAGCACATCTTTTAAATGTAGTGTCTGCATGACCATTCTAATAAGTAATTTAAAATCAAGGATTGCCAGTTTGCGGTTCCCTTCCTGATAACATTTAGTAGCAGCTTATTTGTATCAATTATTTTTTATTGTTGTTGCACAGATGTTGAACAGTTTTGATTTCTTTCAGGGTATAAGGATTGTTTTTGAAGATGGATCTCGTATTGTGTTCCGTCTGAGTGGAACAGGCAGCAGTGGCGCCACCATTAGAATGTATATTGACAGCTATGAATCTGATCAGGCCAAACTGAATGGTGATGCTCAGGTATTTCATATTTCTCTTTAGACAATTGTCACAGTAAATGTTTCACAACAATGAAAAGAAAAAGGAAAAATCAAAAAAATTAAGAGCTATTTTTTATTATTATTTTTTTTAATTTAAAAGCATATGATGTTAGTAAGCTTTTTAGCTCAGAACAGTTACAAAAATAGTGAATTGTTTAAGATGCTGTATTAACTATTTATACTTGCTAGATTGTACAAGTTAGAGATAATCATTTTCATAAAAGTTATTTTAAATACATTTATTAACATGTAACTTTTTTACAGGAAATGTTGAAACCTCTGGTAGAAATTGCTCTTCAAATCTCGCAGCTACGAGAGCTAACTGGTAGAGAAAAACCTACAGTGATCACCTAAAAATGAAACAGCTTGTTCTTTTGTTTTGGCTTTTAAACCCCAGCTTTTAATGAAATTTCTCCATGTGGTGATGATGAAAACGTACCACGTTTGACACAATAAGTATGATTTATTCAGCTAACATTGAATATAAACATTAGAAATTAATTAAAAATCAAAACTGTATCCAAAATGTTGCAATACCTCATTGCCATACTATAGCAAAGTTATGCATTTTTATATTAGGTTTTAGGATTTTTTTTTTTTTTTTTTTTTTTTTTGATGAAAAAAATTTTCATCCAGCTTAATACTATGCTCCATGTAATGGAGATGGCTATAAGACTTATCAGATGCAAGGGTCACTTGGACATGGAGTCCATCAAAAATGCATCAAGTTAAACTGCTGTTCAAAGTGTTGAGACTCACGAGCAGGGAATTTTTCAAAAACTTAATCCTAGGGAAATTTAGCCCTTCCATTGTTTAACAATATTAATGTGCATTTAACTGGATTGATATCCTTTTCCAATTGTTTTTGTCATTTGTTCCGAGGTTTGTTTTGAAAGGGGTGAAGGGTATAAAATGAAAAGCACAGTTGTGAGATTTGTTACTAGCAGCTTCCTTATGTATGTGTCAAATGAAAATACTTCAAAAATGCTAATTAAGTGCATTTAGAACAAATTTAATGTGTTAGTTTCTGTAAAGTGATGTTTTGTTTATGTAAATAACAATTATAAGAAATGTGAATCTAAGTGTTTTTAGGAATATTAACATCAATTGATATGTAATAAAACTGGTGCTCTTTATGAAGTTTTAAACCATTTATTTTGCAACTTTGTGTTATCTTATGGTCATCAAAATATTATGTGAATATTCCCGTTTAGGACTATGAACACTTATTTGTTGAAAGCTACCTTGTTTTTTATCATTTTTAGTGTCTGAAGAAAAGATTGAACTCTCAAGATGTGATCAATAAATTTTTGCTTTGATATCATAAGATACTGAGAATATTTCTGTTCTGTAAAAGTAACTTGTAATGTTTTTAATATATAGAAGAAAAAATTGTACCTCTCCAAAAACAAAATCAGCCTTTTTCTACACAGCTCTTTATTTGGAAATCTCAGACTTCCCTAAAGTTTTTCACTGAAAGCACTGGTACATGTGGGCACTGTTCTCATTCTTAAATAACTTAATAAAATAAATATATAAAACATGCCATTGCTAAATGAGAACATCCAGCTTCTAAACACAAACTGCAACAAGTCCTTTATAATTGCCGCATGTCCTTTAAATGTCACAACCATCTATAAGAACGAGGAAAGCAACTCGTATAATATTGGATCTGCAGTAAAGATGTTGATTTTTTTATTCTAAAAGGATGTGATTTTTTTCAGATGTTTTTTTTTTTTCAGATTTATGTTTTTTTAACTTTGCTTCTCGAAGTTTTCTGGGATAATTGCACAACATTGTCAATTTTCATTCCACAACCCCAAGCCCCTCCCCCCTTCCCAAACCTCCCTCTGTGTTCACTACTGAACCAGATGTCAACTGCTCATGTGTATAGATCTGGGATACAATGTGTCCCACCACCTGAGAACTTTAATATTCACCACAGGGTCCAAAGTCACCAGCACATCGCTGCTGCTTATCACATTGGAATTCACAGTCTGGTGTGGCCCAAAGTGCAGTTTGAGTTTATGATTAAGCATATTCTGACTCACATTTAGATAGGCCTTTTTAAGCAGCAAGCCCATGACACTGGGAATAGAGATAAAATTCAAGCACCAAACTTGCAGTATGGCACAATCTCTGTCCGGATTGAAGTCCACATCATTGTAACCATGGAATAAATCCTGGCGTTTGGATTTTGACATGGTATTAGTCAGTGGACAAGTCGTCTTTGAACGTTTTTCAAATTTAAAAGAAAAATGCCACTTGTTTTTCACAGTTTCATACCACATCAGTTGGCACTTCATAGCCTCAACGCTGTATAAATCCACCTCAAATGGCACACTGACTTTGGTCCGCTCAATAAAAGGTTTGTGCAGATGAAAGAGAGCTTGGATAACTCTTGCCTTGATTCCATGGTGTCTCTCCATACAGGTTGGTTTAAGATCATCTGGCACTGGGATGTTAATGTTATAATATCTGAAATACAAAATGGCAAGATTTTAGGAGAGCTCTATATATAATGAACCAACAGTTTAAAATTTTTCATTCACAAACAAATTTGACGAGAAACTTGGAAACAAGTAAGTAAGTTTCAAGTTTTTCAGAAGGCCTGCCAAAATTGTAAATAGTTTTTTTAGATATTAACGTACCTTCCTCGCTTGTGTTATAACTGTTACTTAAAAGTATACCCTTGAAAACTATTATCATGGGAAAGCATAGTGATCAACAGAGACTGAATGGTGCCTTTCTTTAAGCTTTATTAGCAGTGAATACTGTAACATGAAGATATACCTGTGGTATAATTTGATCCAGAACCTAGCAGTGTGTGTTATCATATGTGTAGTTCTACAGATTGCAGCAAATATCCCAACATCTTCTGGCTGAACAAAGTCCGACACCATCCACCAGACTTCTACGGGATAGGAAAATCCTTCTCTGCACATTTTCGTCTCACTTTTAGGATGTTTTGTCTTCTTTTTCATGGACAAGTTATGCAAAATTTCTGCAATGTCTGTAACAGTGAATAGAATAGAATGGATCATTCAGTTAGGTTTGTCTGTCATGCCAGAAGTGGGATGTATTTCCTTGTTTCTCTATAAAGTGAGAAACTAATGACCCACAACAGGATCCCAGACAGATAAAAATTATGCCCATACTCTACAGATGTTCATCATCCACTAGTCAACTATTCATAAAAATGTCTTTTCATTTAAGAAAGTAGTAAACAAAAACTCAACAGATGCAAACACTGTTGTTGATAAATCTACTTACTTAGTATATCCACAAGAGTTTTAAAATAAGGTTAGTGGATGAATTATCTTTTTTTTTTGTCTGGATGTAATACATGCTTAAGGCCTCACACAATACATTCAATAAAAACATATATATCATTCACAAGAATTCACTATAAAGTTGATTTTCTCTTGGTGAAATGTCCCAGTATGTTTTTCTTATGAGTCCTGATAGAAGATTATAATAATCACTTTTAAAATGCAGACATTTGCCTTTCTTTAAAAAAAAAATTAAATCTATAAATCTGTGTTAAAATCATCCCATTTCTTCAAAGAGAAGAGAGAGATTTTTATACCAATAACATGTATCAGGAACTTTACAAACCTTCATCTTCTGAATTCAGAGCATTTTCTTCAGTTTCACTGTCAGAATCAAAATCTGAGAGGTTCTTCTCAAACCATGTCAGAGCCTGCGATTCTGGGGTTGGACCACACATTTCTTTCACTAAAAAAACATGTTTTATACTTGGTTAGATATTATTCTATTATAAATAATGATAATTATACATGAACAACATTGCAAGACATCCTTATTTATATATATATATATATATATATATATATATATATATATATATATATATATATATATATATATATATATTGTTGTGTATAAGTAGGTCAGCTTATGACGTCACCATATCGCGAGAGCATGAGTATCTCGAGAGCATTAGTTTAGACAGACGCTGGGAGTATGAACGGATAGGAGACTGAGTTTTGTCTTGGGACTTTTGAAGGAGAATATTTTTTTTTTTGGAACCTATCTACCACTGAACCGACACTCATATTTTCTACTGGAACTTGCATCGTAATTACTGTGGGATTTCATCGGACACTTTCACTGAACTTTGCGCCGATTTATCTCCATTCACTCTCCAGTCGACGGATTCACATTGGACTTTCACACAGGACACTTCATGCTTTCAGATAGGTTTATTTGTGTATTAAGAATAGGTTATTGTTATTGTCATTAGTTTATTAAGTTTTAATAAAATATTAAAACTTCTTTAAATCTTTTGTCATTGATTTTTGCTGGCATTGGGTACTCTGACCCGCAACAATATATATATATATATATATATATATATATATATATATATATATATATATATATATACACAGTTACACTAGGCTATGTAATACACTGACCTTCATGGTTCACAGCGTTCACAGCTGCCTTCTTCATTCTTCCAGACGCAGCCACTGGCTGCCTGTCACTGTCGGCATAATCATACACTGTCACATCTGAAAATGAGAAAAGATCATGCCATTCAAAGCTTTCAACAAAAAGTATATATTAACAGTTCGATAAAATAGTAGTTATATGCCGATAATGGTATATTCCTATAAATATTTATCTAATATTTAAAGCAACCTAGAAAACTTAATACATTTTACTAGAATAGCAATCCAATTACCAATATTTGTATATTAATATATTAATGGCTGAATAAACCCTTATCTTATCAAAAGCATACAAACAATATGAAACAAGGAGGCATTTAACTGTGGACCCATTTTTTTGGTGAAATATTGTTAGGTAAACACCCATTTATGATTAAGCAAATATGGAAAACGGTCTTCTAAAATTCACCATAATCAAAATGATAAAATGAAATAAATTTAAAGAAAAAAATTTCAACAATAATTTATTTTAAAAAATTGCATTTCCCCCCTGGCGTGCAATTCGTAAAATACTCAAATCGGCAGAAGGCACATTTCTCTGAAAAAAAAAAAAAAAAAAATAACACGTATCGATTTCATGAGACATTCCTTCACAGCACCACTACTTGTAGTACTAGCAGTAGTAGCGTTGCATAACAAGGCCACATTCAACAAGTTGTCAACACGCACCGTCTTGCACGTTCTGCGATGAATGAAAAGTAAACTCACCAGTCTGAGTGCTGCCACAGTGCCTCCTAGGCGACCTAGGCTTTCTTGCCGATCGCGGCATCGACCTGACCAATGAGACAAACGACTAAATAACATCATTTTTGGGAAAATATGGGGAAAGCGGTTTGTGCTCACACCTACCCAAGCTGTCGGCCATTTCCGGTATCAATTCACGCACGCGCATTCTCCCGGCAAAGAACGATGGGAGTGACCTCTTTTCCCATTGAGAGGAAAATGGCTTCCAAGTAGGAGGCCGGAGTCGGCTTAAAGGGGATTTTTTGGTTGTATTTTCTCCATATGGTATACCTCTGGGAACGTGGATTATTCACGAAATATACAGCAAATGCGAGGGATTTGATTTCAGCTACAAGAATGTTACTTAAAGTGTAATCAAGAGGTAAAAATCGGCTCTTTTCGGCATGCGTCTGTAATGATCCATTGATCCATTTTTACCATCTCGGAGTGTTGTGTCAGTTTTCTGTCAGCTCACCCGGTATTTTATTATCAAGTTTTCAGTGGGATCTTGTTAACGCAGAATGATGTGCGACGTGATGCCTACTATAGCCGAAGACGGGTCCTCGGAGCGTGACTCCCAGTATTCTGGGGAAGACGCAAACTTTGAGCAATTGATGGTGAACATGTTGGACGAGAGAGACAAGCTAATGGAGACTTTACGAGAAAACCAAGACCAGCTTTCGATGGCGCAGGGGAAGTTGAGAGAGGTTGAAAGGGAAAGGGACGCATACCAGAAGCAACTGCAATCTAACACCCCGCAGGTATGTCGTAAACATTTTGTTCCCTAACCAGTACGTGTCGTGTTACTTTTCCATTTGTGCTATATGCTCTGCTGCGATTATAACACTGATTCCATTAAAATCATTATCAAGCACATCTGTGTTATAATCTCACCAGGGTGGCCCTATAAATGGTTATTACTTATGGACATAACCTGATGTATCTTCAATACAAACAAGGCCATACCATTGAACTATGATCTGAGAATGTGGACCATTCCACTCACTGTAGCAGGTGTTTCTTAGGGAGAGCAAAAAATCTATACATTGATTCTTCATAACATAATACAGTTTTATAATTAGTCCAGCCTAAGATAGCTCAGGAAAGCTAATCCATTTAATTGGCAACATTTAACTGCAAATTGCTTTAACTTCCCATATGCCATTGTATTATGACGCACATGGAGTTTGCATTAAAACCAGCCTGTGATATGTGACATTAATTACATTGTGTTTTATGCCCTTGATAGGATGCATACTAGCAGTTGCTAAACCTGATATTGCCTTAAGCCCCTCACAGACTGTCAGGATATTTAATAGAGGTCTCTGTTGGATGAGTGTCTCAGTATTGTAATTCTACAGTTATTGATGATCTGAATTACGTGGGTAACTCTGAATGATAAAAGAAAAAAAAAAGAAAGACATCTTATGTCATTTCCGAAAGTTTATGTTTGAAACACCTGCAGATGTCTTAATCTAGAACCATACGTGAGTTTTTTCATGTAGGTGATATTTGTCTCTGTGCTGATATCGCTGGCTTTTATCAGTTTTACGTGAATGTGCACATGCAGATCTTACGTGGTGCTGTATACATGAGAACGACGATGCTTAATAAACTGAAGTAGTGATACCTGACACTACTATTGTGTGATTCTGATTTTATAAGTGAGTGATAATTGAAAACCAAGTTNCCGTACTGATATCGCTGGCTTTTATCAGTTTTACGTGAATGTGCACATGCAGATCTTACGTGGTGCTGTATACATGAGAACGACGATGCTTAATAAACTGAAGTAGTGATACCTGACACTACTATTGTGTGATCCTGATTTTATAAGTGAGTGATAATTGAAAACCAAGTTGTTGATCTGTGGTATTTAGCTCATCCAAAGGAAATATTCAGTTTTCATAATTTGCTGTTGGTAAAATAATACAAAGCAGTACAAAAGGGAATGCATGTGGCAAGTTGACTGGAATTTAAAGAAAACAAAATACACAGTATGTATCTTTGCTATGCTCCTCCTTCACAGTGTGTGTTACGAGTAAAGGAAAGAGAATGTTGTGAAATAGTTTGGCTATTGTGTTTCTTCTGTGTCCCTTTCCATTTTAATAATAGTGAAGTATGCTGGATATGGTGTATTTTCTATGTGATTCTTTTTATGTTATGTACAGAATTGCAAACTGAAATGGTCTGGGTATTCATGTCTTTATCAATATTTTTTTCTCAGTTGATTTACAAAGAAAAGTGAAAATGGTGGAAAATTTGCATATTCTGGAAAGTGCTTTTCTTCAATTTTGTTCTGCGGATATAGTAAATGCATTTATTTCAAATGAATCTTAATTGATTTAATGCTTAAAATTAGCACATGCAATTACTAGATTCAAAAATCTTCTTAGGATGAATTCTTTTATATTCATAGGCCTGCATTACTTACTAGTAGTCAGTCGATTGATTTTACACACACCCTGTTGGCCAGAAATAGCCTTGAAGTATTGGTTTGGCTTTACAGTCTAAGGAAATATGAGGTATTAAGACCGTTTTATATAGGGAAAATGATGCCTTTCATTAGTCTCAACAAGTTCTCTGTCTGTAGCAACAAATTTTCGTTTGTTTATGGGCACATTTCATGTGCTGCAGTCATCTTGTGCTGTGGCAACATTTGTCATGCAATTGTTTCGTTAAACTGATAGCCATGCAGTTCATTACTCATTCAAAATTATATCACCACATAAGACAAAAGTATAAATCATAGTTATAATAAGTTGGTTTCTGGAAAGTGTCGGAATAGTCCAAGTAGTTGGTCCGTTTTATATCCCATTCTCATCAGCACCATCGGTCTATGTAGATTGATCCAACTCTGTGGAGACTCTCGCTGAGTGCAATCAGCTTAACTGAATAGCATGTGTCTTATTGTTTCCAACGTAATCTTATAATCAGCAGCTTTTCTGTATTCTACTTAAGGCCAGGATTGTACTCAGCAAGAGTTCTTGCAGAGAAGGATAGATCTATGTAATTCAGTGGTGTCTATGGGAATGGGCCTTTAAGTTGACATGTATGTCAAAGCAGTACTGGTTAGCTTATTCCAGTGGTGTCAGTTGAATTTAAAAGAAATACAGTGAAGATGATTTTATATTTACAACAAAGAAAGCCAAATATTCTCTTCTGTGGTTTAGAATTTGTTAGGAAGAGATTCTGCCTTTAGGAACAGAGCAACCACCATTATTTTAGCGATTACTGATGAAATAGAATTGTTCCAATGTTTTTATTTGTCAGTTAGACTGGCAATACCATTCCTTAGAATGGCATGTATTTCATCATAGATGTAGTCCTTTATCCAAATGCAATCGATCACAATATTAGAAATATACAGGCAGTGCTTGATACATCTCAGTCTGGCTGTTTCTTGGGGCGCGTTCATACATGGCTCAGATGGACTGAATCTCAATTGACCTTGATGACACAGAGAATCACTGTTGCAGTACAGTTGGTATGTTCATAGCATGTTTTCGTGGGAATTTTTGCTTTACCCATTGGTGCACATTTGTCATTTTCTGTAACAGGTAGGGTTGCTATAAAAAAACCCTTCAAAACAAAACCCACGTCAGTCTGAAGTATGTCTGAACACATCCCAAAATACTGAGAGATTTCCAAACCCCCCTCCCCCAGGGACTGCGTTTTCCAATTGCATGTCCCTGTAAATTGTAGAATTTTAATGGAACATTTCCTGTGTGTTGAGAGGTAATAGACTATTGCATTTTAACCAGCCTATGTGTCAAAGAAGAAAAGAGTTCATACAGGACTCCTTGCTTATCAGTGGGAATAAATCTAGATCCTATCCTTACACGGGCAAATTTGCTTCTTTTATAAGGTTGAAATATACTGTGCAAAGATTTAATATCATTGGATATGTCTATAATTTATTATGTCATACATATTCATAATTGGTGTATTTGTTGAAATCACTCACACGTGCAATATTACAAATTCGATATATAAATTGATTTCTCTAATGGGGAATACTTGAATGCCCACACTCGCGGGTTTTTTTAAATTTTTAATTCACAGTAGATTTATCATCAGCTTAGTCACCACTCAATTATTACTGTGTCTCTTTACTTATGAAAATCTGGTAAGCAATCTGGGTTGATCTAGGTAGCCTTTGTTCTCAAATAATACAAATGTGATTGTTCGGTTTTTGGATCACGCTAAAACGACTGTCTCTGTGGATTTGACTTTTTTGAACTAAAAATAGTCTCTACATTTAGATGAGCCGATGTCTTGCTGATGGTAATGTTCAAACTTTGCCTGTATCATCCCCCCACGTGTCACTTGATTCTTTTGCTATTAGGTTCTCATCTAATACTGTGGGCAGGCAAACCCATCTCACAACATTGGTTTCGAATTCAATTTATGGAGGATGTGGCAGCATCCCATGCTTTTATTCTATGTGCAAATATGATTACACTAGCCACTTGGGGTCCCTGGGGTACCACTGGTGGGACAGCAGCTATGGCAACCCTGCCCTGGCTCAACCTGTGAAATAGATTGGATAATGGAGAGGGATATATATGTAAGGCTTTGGGTAGAACTAACCCCAGATTTCTCCTTCTTTTCTTTGGGTGGTTTTAGATGATTTGTAGGTCTGTGTAAGATGCAGGTTGGTGACAGAAAAGTTAGATGTACGTGTTTCAGTTTGTATTTTATTATATAACAGAGTCAAGAATGGAATACACATATACATGATCTTGAATTTGGTTGCTTTACTTAAAATTTCTGATAGTATTGCTGTAGGTCAAAATTACTTCACTTGCCTTTTGACAAGTCAGTTTTTCAAACAAAAATATAGGTAATTGAGGAATTTAACTAAATTCTCAAAGCCCTCTTTTCATACACACATTACTGAAACCAGATTTTTGTCTTTTAAACCATGATTGGAATTGCAGACATTGTGTAGGTTGGACCAGAGATGGGAGCATCACCAGAAATAAGTGTTTTGACATGTGTAGATATATGCAGTTTGCAGAAGGAGTTCTGGCTCTTCCTTGCCTATCTGGAAATAATTGCCTGTGCAGTTTTGTAATTTTTGACAGAGTTACTGAGAGATCTGTGTGAATGTTGGACACTTAATTCTGATCAAAGATTCAGGTTTTTGGAAGCCACAACAACTTCCCTAGTATTTCAGCTGATTTGTATGCTGGTAGATACACCTTTAGATCCTACACCACTTTTGAGACTGGGTGAACTAAGGTTATGCATTGAAAGTGGATCTTTGGTTTTGGAAAGGCTTTTTTTTTGCACTACTGAATGCAACATCCCCTTGTGTAATGACATTACCCAATCTGGTTTACTGGAAGAGAGGTGATAGCTGAAACTTGTCTGACCTGACTCTCATGAGTCAACCTCTAGCAAAATGGTGGTCTTTGAAGTGGAATTGCCTAATTTCAATGGTCGAGGCATCCCAAATGTGGCGTCAGTGGAGGTTTCATCCATTTTTTTTATTGCCAAAATACATCCCCACCCCTTCCCACCCCACCCCACCCAAAAGATAGGTAATTTTTATAAAGTCTTAATAATGCCTCAGTTTTTATTTACATTTCTTACGAAGGAAAAAAGTAAGTATTAGAAAAACCAAAAATTATATTACATAATTGTTTTCAAATAAATGTTTATTTTCTTAAAATTGTGTGCAGACCACACACTAGGCATCTGTATTTTCCTTCTCACATATAGAATTTCAAAGCCAACAATGTCAGTCAATGTC